GGGGCCGGGCTGGGCGCTCCTAACGCCGCTGTCCCGGGGCTCTGCAGGACGCGGGGATCCCCGGCGGGGTTTGTGAGAGGAAACACGGAGTGCGGGACCAGGGCGGGGGAGCCCGCGAGTGCTGGGCCTGATGGTGTGGGAGCCACGGTGGGGGCGCGGCTGAGGCTGGGGCTGGCGCCTCTGGGATGTGCTGCCCTGCGGGTCCGTTCGGGGAGTCAGGGGTGTTCCGAGAGACGGCCGAGTGGGGCTGGGCAGTGGCTGCAGGAGGCCCTGGGCGGGGGGGCAGAGTCTGCTCAGTGCCAGCACCTGCCACTGTAGGCTCCCTGCTCCACGCTGTAACCTGCTGTCCCCTTCCACCACGGGCCCCGCAGGTACTGACTGCTGCCCCGGTTGGAGGGTAGTCCTGGCCCCAGCCCCACATCTATGTCCCTGCAGGCCCTGAGGATGTCGGACGGGATCCTGAGTAAGGCAGCCACCATGGAGATCCCCATCAGCAGCAACGGGGACACCAGCAGCCTGCCCGAGGATGATGGCCTGGAGCAGGTCTGGGGGTCGGGAACCCCAGGGGGCTGGCTGGGGCTGTACCAGGGCTGTGCTGTCTCTGTATCTCAGTCCCCTGTGATCCTGTGGCCCGCAGGACCTGCAGCAGGTGATGGTGTCGGGACCCAACCTGAATGAGACCAGCATTGTGTCAGGCGGCTATGGGGGAACAGCTGAGGGCATCATCCCCACCGGCACCATCAAAGGTAGTGGGGGCTGGACTGGGAGGGAATGGCGATCATCATGGGAAGAAGGGGGTCAGCTCCCCTCATTGCCCCTGACTTATGACACAAAGCTCTGCCATGGCCCAGCCAAGGTGTCTTCTGGGTGGGCTCTGTTCCTGCTGGGCTCGGGTTCTGTGCAGGGGCAACGTGTGGGGGTGTGTAGTGGTGGCAGAAGATAATGATGGCAGAGGAGGGGCTGCTGCCCTGCTCTGCTCTCCCTGGACTGGGTTGCTCCCCTATTACAGGATGGGGTCTGCTGTGGAATTGCTATCCCCTTGGTCAGGACATCCCCATGGATGTCTGAGTCCCAGCTGTGGTGGGGGATCCCAGGTCTGTCCCAGTCCATCTGCAGCAGGAGCTCTGGAGTGTGCTGTGGATGAGGGGGCAGGCAGGGGGCCCCAAGCCCACACCCTACTGGCCTTTTCTTGCTGTCCCAGTCAGACCAGGCCACAGCAGGGCTGGTTGGGCTCTGCAGCGTGGGAGACCTGGCACCGCTGTTCTTGTTCCGTGCAGATCTCTCCCTGAGAGTCCCTCCAGGGCTTGAGGAGGGTCTGTGTGGACAGAGAGGGTGAGCGCGTGTGCTTCCCCGGAGCACCGCTACTCTGGCCCGGTGTCCCCGTGTCTCTGTGTTCCTGTGTCCCCATGACATCCGGCCTGCCCAGGGATTGCTGCATAGAGGCCAGAGGTGGGGGGGTTCCCTGGGGTGGGGGAGTCCATCTGTATGGCTGTGGCCATGTCTCTGGGTTCCAACGCTCACCTGCTGCCGTCGCTCTCCCGCTGCCGCCCGCCCACGCACTCGTCCCTGTCCCCTGCCCCCCGTCCCCTCTGCCTTGGCTACCCCACTGTCCCATGCCCTGTGCCCCCTATCC